GTCAGCTAAAGAGAAGTAACTAGACTAGAGACAGTATATTCCATTAGTGAAGTTCACGGAAGTACATCTGCTTAGACAGACCTCACCTGTTTATCCAGTTCCGGTCATTATTGAAAGACTTGCATGTGCTTATCTAGTTAAGGAAGTGAAAGTTAATAAACTATGTAAGGTGCTTAGATGTCAAATTGTTTTCATTTTCCTTGCATTTCACTGTCCAATGCATTCTCCTGGGAAGAGCCTTCAACAATTTGCCTTCAGCAAATACCTGTTGGGATATTTTGGAAGTGAAATTTCTGGAAGCATCCCTGCAGCAAGTAGCTGTCAGTCATAGCTTAGGCCTCAAAGCACTAGAGCAGGGCCTAGTGCCACCGAAGAGAATCTGAGTTTATTTATTTAGTTATTATTTATTAAAACATTTCTATGCCGCCCCATTCGCCGAAGCCTCGGGGCGGCTCACAACATAAGATTAAAATATAATACATACAACAAATTAACAATATAAAATTGATCTAATGTGGTGGTTTGGTGATTCAAATCAAGTCAAGGTCACTTATAAAATATAAGAAAATCAACTTGCTGGTAGAAAATAGCCAATTCTGTTCACTTGAAATAGTCAAGGACAAATGGTTGGAATGCTTCTCCACCCCACCACTGTGTTCCAACCAACATTGCTTCAGTCCTCCATATGGAGGATGATAAACAGCCTAAGAATTTCTATCTGTCATGCGGATAGATGGGAGATACAGAATGGCCATACACACATTGTGTCTACTAGGTAAGGACTAGGTAGTTAGTATAAAACAGGTACTTTGCAGTTAGAGCTGATCTAAGGTAGGGAGATGCAGAGAACAGAAATATTACAATGCTCTACAATGGAACTTGGAATTGCCCTATGATATCCAATAAAGTAAGGAAATAAATAAATTGTTCTTCACAAGTATAAGATGCTAGGCATTTGAGTATATACACTTAATAATTTTATCTCTTGTAGAACCACAGTGTTTTAGAAATTAATTTGTTTATATTAAAATCTGTTTTTATTGTACCTTGAATACTCATTGACTGTCGGAATGATAAAAAATATAAAGAACTAAAATGTCTAAAAATATTTTGCTAGACTAGAAATATTACCTTGATTTTTGTCCTGGTTTTACACTACTAGAGAATATTTAACATTAAAAATGTGAAAATATAAAGAAGTGTATAGATTTCTGCTCCCCTTCAATCATGCACAGGGGATACCTTGGGAGAAATAAATCTTTGTCTTTGCTCTCCACCACCATTTTCAGACTTTTCAGACTTGCAGCTTTCCCCTTTCATACTACTTTTTGGGATGGGGTAAATTCTATTTAGACAACAATGAGCTGTCTCTCCCAGGTGCCCCAATGATGCCTTGAGGGGCAGAACATGGCTGCCCAGCCATTTTTAAATAATGCAAAGACATGTGCTCATTTCAAAAGATGCAAGCACAGCTGAACTCAAGCAAACAATCATTTTGGTACAACTGCTCCAATTTCCAGTTTCAGCTGGGCCAATGACAGGTGGGTCCTACTGCCAAGAGGAAGCAGGCACACATCCCAAACATTCTCCAGAAGAGGCTCAAAATCCATTTTTCTTACACTTGGTTTCTTTGACAGCTCACTGAAGTTGAGCTTTCAACATAAAAACAAACTGCAAGAATCTTCTGCTGACAAGTGTATTGTTTAAAAAAAAACACTTCAAATCCTCATCTCTTTTTTAAAATAATGGGATAAGTCCAGATCCATCCACTTCCTATTCAAAATCTGCCTTTTAAATGGATGCTGAATTTTGACAGTCAACTGTCAAACCCTGTTTCTTTCAAAGAAAGAAAGATGGAATTCATTTTTTGACTTTTCAGGCCCTTAAAGTCTCTAGACACAGTTGCCTTCCCTCATTCAGGAGATCAGCCGACACTTTCTTGGACATTGCTCCAATCAAGTCTTAAAATCTATGCACTTGCACTTAAGCAGATGACTACTGCAACAGAACTGAACATCACTGTGTGCAATATATGAATTTAAAAAATGCTGCACAGCCATAAGCAGTCAATGTACCACTGGGGCATCTTGGAGGGCCAACCTGTAACTGTCCAAAAGCAGATCACAAAACCAGCCTGACCAGAGGCATTCATAATCATTCCTCCCACCAAAAAGAAAAAGGAAGAAAGGTCCAAAGGGCCAAAAGCTGCAGTGAATCCAGAATAGCTTGTGGCAACAGTAGATGAGGGGAAGCTTCTGCCAGTCACCCCCCAGAGTGCTGTTTGTGCACTTTGAGGGCAGCTGGGAGTGGCACTTGACCAATAGCCACTTGGAAAGAATAGCAAAATATTTTTGTTGCTGTTTCCAATCAGCTTATTAGTTTGTTTGGTAGTCCCATGATGGATTATGCTGCCTAGATTCAGATAACTCAATGTGGGTCAAACTGACCCTACTATAACCTACTATAAACCATGGGTTATCAGGGTGGCTTATGAGTCAAAGTCAAGCCACCCTGACATGACAACGGTGGGTTCAGATAACATTACAAGCCACTGTGATTTATAAGCTAGTAGTAGGTTTTGTGTCCTACTTTCCTACTATCCCAAGCCATGCTAGGTGGTACTGCACTCTTTCCTACACAGGGAGTTTCTACCATATCAAAGGAACCATTCTACTTGTGGAAAAGCTGCTGAAGATCCAGGTCATTATATTATTTCTTAAAAGATAAATGCAATTCTTTCTTACAGTGTGGAAATGATTATGAGAGGTTCAGATAGACAAACAAGAGTCGTAAGTCCAAAACTATGTCTTAACAAAAGTTCAGTTACATAGAAACATAGAAACAGAGGGAGTCAGAAGGGGTCTCCCAGGCCATCTAGTCTGACCCCTGGCTCTAGCCGGCTCCATTCCTGACATGCCTACCATGTGCATGTCCGATCTCATTCAAATGTTAAGTCAAAGTTAAAACTGAATGCCTATCATAGTAAAAAAAAAAATGAATTGGATGGCTATTTCAGCAGTTGTCTTATTCACTAAAATTACTGATAAATCTTAATATGAGTTAATTGAATTATACTGGATAAGCCTCTCCTTGATCTGAAGCTCCACAAATGGCAATAATGTACCTGGCAAAAACATGGTAATTTGCATCTCTCTGTAAGAACAAAGAATGTTGGGTAAACTATTTGCAAGTTAAAGGAGTGGGGGGCATTAAAAGCAGGCACAGAGTGCAGGTAAAGACGGAGAGCCCACAGGGAAGGCTGCAGGGATTGGTATCACTCCAGTATGCCCTGCCTGCTCCCAACCAGCAGACCACATGCACAAGCATGCTTTGAGGTTTGCCGGCCTCCTTTCCCACCGTGCTAGCAATTGCCTCCCCAGGCCTGTGCAGGCCAGGTATCAGGAGGAGAAATTTCAAGAAGCATTTCAAGAATGGTAGAAATTTGGTATTGACTAAAAGTTCATTATGAAGCGTCCTTTTCTCTCTCTTACGGTGCCTACAGTAACATCACATAAAAGCCAATGGTCTGGTTATTTCTATAACTCACTGGAACAGAATTTAAGATAAATAAAGATGATTGATCACTTGGGGACTTATTAGAGACGAGATAAACATTTTCTTAGTCCTGAGAGGAATTCAAGCAAACAAAAAATATTATTTTATTTATTATTTTATTTTTATTTAAAACTTATTTTAATTGCTAAATTATTGCATTTATTAGTATTTTAAATTAGCCGAGAATGCACCGGGGGTTTTAAATGTTTTTTTTTCCTTTTAAATTGTTATATTGTTATTGTTTATGTATGTTTTTTTGTATTTTTTGTGAGCCACCCCGAGGCTTTGTTGCAATGGGGGAGGCATAGAAATGTTTTAAATAAATAAATAAATAAATAAATAAATAAACAAACAAACAAAATCTTCACTGGTTGTTGCATTTATAGACTTCAGGTCAAGATGGCCAGTCTTTTATCCTCAAGGACAAGATAAACATTAAAGCGCTCCTGTCATGGGAAACTGAACCTTTAGGCTCATCAAATTATCTGGTTAGAGATGGAAAAATCTCTAGCAACATGTAGGCATTCTATCATTCACCGTAGTGTTTTAGTCATCTCTGTATGAAACAATGGTTTATCAGGGTTATCAACAGCAAAAATATATTCACTTATCTGTTTGATTAAATCTTAGATCCCAAAGCCTAAGAACATATTTGTGAAGTTAAGCATGTTGAATTAACATGTGCAACGCAGTGAAGAACAGTTTTTAATTGAGTATGGAATACTCCTTAAAGATAAATGCTGGAAACTAGTCTGTGTTTTTCCCCTTAAGAAATCAAAAGTAAAATTGGCAACAGTGGAGAATATTTTCCAAATCAGTTTCACTGACTCTGAATCTTCTAACTCTGTGGGGAAGCCATACACTTATCTGAATAGACCTTCTAGTTATATCGGTAACACATTGAAACACTCAGATAGTCCATCACACCATATTAACCACATGCAAACCGAATGTGTGCAGCATCTTTCCCTTTGCCTTTTGAAGGGGAAAGAATTATATGCACAGATAATTCACCCATCATGTTGCTGTATGTATCATGGGGAAAAGTAGGTAATCGTATTTTTCTACTGATACTAGTAGTAGTCTTCTCATTATACTTTGTTACCTGCAAAGTATCTTGAAAACTTGCTTTATTTAAAATATTGTATGCTGCTTTTGTATAAAAATATCCAAAGCAGTGTACAAATTCAACAGCACACAACACATTTCACTAGTATTCCCAGCCCACCCCTGAAATGCTTGGACATCTTATGACTCCACAGACCTGATTGGATGTAAACCCAATTCCAAATTCAAGAACTTTTCTGTCTGTTAAATTACATAGTTTTGAGCTGAAAAGATGTCTCAGTGTTATGCTCAAAAGACTTCTTTATTTTGAAATATATCCAGCACATTGAATCTGAAACCCATTTAACCAACATATTGGTCTATTTTTAAATCTATAGCAATATGTGTGTTTGAAGGTAAAACCTACTTTGAAGGTGAAAGAGAAACTGTACATGCAAACTCAGGGGATTGCATTCTGTTTGAATGCAAGGTAAGAGCACTTTTAACTTATTCTCTTTCTCATCCTTGCAATGTAATTAAACCTGCTCAAAATATTGCTAACAGTGACACTGTCGGATCTTCAAGTGCCCTGTATTTTGCTAGTTTCTGTCTCAATTGGAATAAATAGGGGTTTTAAACATGAGTGTTTCTTTTATAAGGAAGGAGAAAAGGAGGGAATTGAGAGCAAGCCTCAAGCTCACACCATCTTCTCTGCCATTTCCCTTGCATGAGAGAAATGGAAAAATAAATCAGGAAGATACTGTGCTACATTCCTCCATTGCTTCTTATAATTATAAGCCCATTTCCTGACTAGCTATTGCTTATAATCTCTGCATTATATGAGGCATGCTGTGAATATAGTTTTTTCTAATGTTAATTTTGCAAATGTTTTCATCATAACTTTTGAATTTTTGAGCAATTTGGACACTTGGGGGACTTTTTAAAGACCAAATTTTATATACATGGTGTTGAACCCAGATTTAGTCATTCATGGTTAAAATCAATGGGATCAAGTTAGCTATGACCCATTGATTTCATGTGTCTAGTTCTTTAGCAGTGAAATCCTTTGCATGTCCGTCTGTCTGTCTGTCTGTCTGTCTGTCTGTCTGTCTCACTTTAATACCACCCAGTAGCTGAGGCTCTCTAATCAGAAGTAAGTTCCATTTAGTCCAATGACAATTACTAAAGTCCTAAGAAAGTGTATGGAATGAACTCAATGGGACTTATGCTGAAGTAGACACTCTTTTCAAGGAAAAGAAATGTTGACAATAAGACCAGATCAGTAATTTTCAGCTTTTTATTATGAATTGCTGTATAACGGCCACCCTTAAAAGATAGCAATGAGATGCCTCTGTCTATAGAAACCTGTTAGTAATGTAGCCATCCTGAGTGGGTTTTTTTGGGGGTGGGGCAGTGGTTTTGTTTGATAGAAAGGTAGGGTACTAAAATAGATAAATGAATTAAGTGTGCGCTTTCTTACTTTTAGGAGCAATTTTGAAAAATTATAAATTTGGGATAAAAATGCCATTCTTAGCATTTTCATGAAATATTTTGATTAGTTCCTAGAAGTGCTGGTGTAGCTTTTGTTAGAAGGCTGGGTAGTGCAATCGCTTATGCATGAATAAAACTGGTTATTGAGTAATTTCTGCTTTCCAAACATATTTTTACTGGCTGCTTTAAATCTAACTGAAAGTGTACTTTAAGAAATGAAATAATAATGTTGATTTAATAGGACTACAAAATGCAACGTTTGATGAAATCAGATTGCCCTGCCTTGAACTGTCCTGAGTCTCAGCAAATCTCCTTATGTAATAGTTGCTGCAAAGTCTGCAAAGGTAAGGCAAAGAAAAACGAAGAAGCCAAGAGAGTGGCCTCTAGTCTTCAGAGGTTCATGCCATAATACTCGTGTTATTCATTGAGATGCCTTAGTGTGTTTTTTAAAATGTTTGTTGTAACAGATTGATTTAGCAACCATTTTGAAAAACTTTTCAAAGGTTCACTTCAAAGTGTTGTGACTTTAGGTATTATAAATGAGACCTAAATCATAAATGTATTTAATGTATCCAATGCCACTCAATCCAAGTGCATTTATTTATTAATTTATATAGTGCTAGTTGTAAACAAAAATCCTATCTAGTTTATAAGTAGTAAAATCACATGTAAATGTAATTTTAATGTAATTTTAAATGTCAAATTCAGATTTAAATGTAATTTTAATATCAATTTATAAATTAATATTAAAATTACATTTAAAATATAATTTTAGAAGCAGTTCTGATTGCAATCATCACCATAATGCAGAGCAATACAGGAGCAGTTAAATGGAATGCATGATTATTTCAGAGATAAACCAGAAAAACCCTGAATGTATTTTCAGGACATACTGGAGAGATGCCACATTTTCTGCCTTCTGTACTACACAAGGGAAAAATTCCAAAGAATAGGTGCTGCTACCGAGAAGGCCCACCACTGAGGTGTTATGCAGCAAAATTTTCGTAATTTGGCCTGACCATCAAGGTCTCCTCTGATTATCTTTAATTAAGGTCAGTTGGCATTCTGCTAGATATATAGAAGTTTAAAGCTTCTTATCATCTTCTCAGAGCAGGAATAGCATAGAGGTTTCAGTTGTAGGATCAAGTGTATCCTCATGAATACTAATGTAGTCCCAACTCTTCGCTCAACCAAATCTACTAAAGAAGAATAGCTGCATGACTGTGTGAAGGATGTGGCCCATGTGGGTGATTAGAAGAGCTATGACCAGGATGGGTCATTGGTGTGAGGTCTTTTCAATGAATGAACTGGGTCTCAAGTGTTTCTTTTTAAAATGACTGTAATGATAGTATGGAATCTGATTCATCTCTATGCTTCATAATGACTTCAGATATATTATGTAACATGCTTTGACATTAAATTGCATTCCCACTGTAGGTATTGTACACTTTCCTTTTAATAGAGAAAATTACACTCCTACATTTAACACATACAGTTCGAACAGATAACATGTGTCCTGATTTGTGATGCCAGGGTTAAATATATTATTGTCTGGGATTTCCTTGTCCTCACTCAAGGTGATATCATTTTTGTTCTTCAAGAAGTGCATATTTGCAGCTTATTACATATGCACAAAAGGGTTTAGTCTTGTTTTTGCTAAAAGATAAATCATGAGAAACTGGGTTCTAAAATGAAACAAGCCCTCAGCCTCCTGAGTTTCATCATGCGCCTGTGTTCATTCATAAAAGCTGCATTCAATTCCTGTGTTATCCAGGGTCAAATTAGTATATGAAAAGAAAAATGAAAACAAACCCAGTGAAAATAACATAATAGAAGCTCAGTAGGATCTTTCAATCTATCCAAATAAATCCCAAAGACAATGTGCTTCTATAAGTTTAAATTATTAGAATGGCCCCTGAGAAAATGTAAAATTTTCTTAATTATTCAATGGAGACCACGAGTCTGACAAGTGTAACTGGCAGGTTCACACTTGGTATCAGAACATTCATATGTCTGTGTGGGTCAGCTTATAATCACTAGTTATAAGGCAGCTATGGATCTCATTTCTGAAAAATTAAATCAGTACAGAATCAAATCATTTATATTTGCTCACTTATACCATCATTTATATTTGCTCACTTAAGAAAGGGAACATACAGATCAATAGAGAGAATGTAACCTTTGCCTCCTGTGATGCTCAGTTCTGATGCAACTGACACAAGCCAGAAGAATCCTAGCTAAAGTCAAAGATTTGTCCTTAACCATGACTTCTTTGTGGTGAAGGAAGAACAGGACAAAACCTACCATGAAACCAACCACGGTTATTCACAATCAGGCAGAGAAACCATAGACTCAAAGGAAGAATGAGGGGAACAACCCATAATGTTACTAAAAGTAGGCATTCTTGCTTCAAATTTAACTACTAGTCCAATAGCTACCCTGGTTATATCAAGAAGATCATAGTTACACAAATGAATGCTAGACAACAAACAGTTGCATGTTCAAATTGCCTTTTAATAATTCCTGGCAAGAGTGGGAATTCTCATTCACATCAGCAGCTGGTGATTTCTACCAGTTAACCAATTACTCCAGCATTTATTTATTTATTCAATTTATATCCTGCCTTTTTCCTACAAAGGACTCAAGGCAGCTTACATTATTCTCCTCCTCCATCTTATCCCCACAACAACAACCCTGTGAGGTAGGTTGGGCTGAGAGTCTGTGACTGGCCCAAAGTCACCCAGTTGGCTCCATGGCCGAGTGGGGACTAGAACCCAGATCGCCTGAGTCCCAGTCCCATGCTCTTAACCACTACATGACACTGGCTCTCACTCTCTTCCTATATATCGTGTGTGTATATGTATGATATATCCTGTTTTATTTTGCACTTGAACACAAATGCAAAGATGCAGGATAGTGGAAAATGTTTTACCACTTGGCAGGATGTAATGGATAGCAGACTTATAAAAATGTTAATGTACACACTGTACATGGAGGCCCAGGAATGTCTATAGTTGGAAAAGACTTGCACTTCCAAACTCTAAGATGTTACTCCAACAAGCTCTTGTTTTCCTTTCAGTATGGGCACCATCACTTAGTGATAAGTTCTAAATGTTAAAACCAGATGTGAATAATTCTATGTCTCTTAACAACTAGATAATAATGATGCTGAAGCGGGGAATGATGAATTGGTTGAACAGAGGATTTTTTTCCCCTGGTTCTTCAGTTTAGTTCTGATTGTAGCAACTACCAGTTCATGATCACAGTAGTCAAAGGATTCGTAAGCAGGGCTTGAAAACCATGGTGAAGAATCATTATCTCATGCATGATAAAGTGCTAGGATCAATGGGAACTTTGTCACTCTCTTCAATAGGAATTGCATATTGTTTAGAGCCTTTTAACTATCATTCTGTATAATTTTTAGGCCACAACTTTTGCTCTGAGGGACACAAGTGTTTGGAGAATTCTTTCTGCAGGAACCTTGAAGACAGGGCTGTCTGCAGCTGCCGAGATGGTTTCCGAGCCCTTCGAGAGGACAATGCATACTGTGAAGGTAAAGAAGGACATGGCAGCCATCAAAATTAGTGTGGATTGCTGCAAGAAATGTGTATTAATTCACAACTTGTCAAAGTGATGGGCTCATTAAATGCAGGAATTTAATTTAAAGCATATTAATCAACTGAAATAATTATCTCTCGAATTAAGATTTTTCTCTTTCAAAAAACAATCTGTGTCAAAGTAATAAGCTTATACAGCTGAGTTCTCGATTTAGAAGCAATATATTAACTACAGAGTGTGTTGTTTCATTAATCAGATCTCATAGAAGCTAAAATTCTCATATTAGGGCATTTTAATATATTGTCTAATTGGTTATACCTTTTAATTAAGCCCTTGAGGTTTTTCTGCTTTCTAAAAATTATAAATGTCAGAGTAAGCAATACTAAGTAACAAACTTCCCATATAAAAGATCATTTGCGCATATTTCTCTAAGCATATCTGCATTCACTACACATGGTCCATACAAAATGTGCAGTGTGTGATGATAATGTTTATACAACATGACAACCCATCCTACAAATCAGACATACAGAATGAAATAACCCACAGTACACCTGACTGCAGTCTCACTGTGGCCTCCTATGTCCCCATTGCTCCTTCCACCATCATCCAAGAGGATTTGGTTGCCGAAACTGATTTTTTCCCCTGCTCTGAGTGCAACTTCTTTTCAGTTTAAACCACCCCTCCCCTCTTTTTCTAAAGAAAAGAACAAATTTCCAAAGAAATGCTTTTGTTATATTTTCAAGTGGCAGCCTCTCTGAAGTGCCCAAGTGGGCTTCATGCAGGTCTTTGTTCTCCTCAATCCTGCTCTCAAGCATTTGATTGAAGATGCTTGTATTTGGGTGTGCCTTGATCTTGAGACATTCATAACTACCGACCGAGGAATTCAGTAGAAAACCCTTTACTTGCATGAGGGATACATTAAATATACAAGACTTATATGTATGTGTGTGCAATCATAGCAACTGTTCTAAATTATTCAGCTATTATCTCTATAGGCTCCAGTCCCAAATAATCTGAATTGACATTCATGAGGATGTGTGCTTATGCAATTCCAATAAATGCAACAATTTCTGACTTAATAGTGTATCCTGAGCGCCACTAAAATCACCATCCTTAAGCTAAATGTAGCCGATATGAGTTGCAATGGGATGCATAAATAGAGGTAGTTTCTCCTCTACTGTGCATTAGTCTGACCTCACCTGGAATATGCCATTCAATTTTGCACAGCCAGGGTTAAACAGGATGCTGATAATCTGGAGAGGATTCACAGGGGGGCAACAAAGATGATACAGGGTCTGAAAAATCAGTATAATGATGAGAGATTGAAAGAACTGGGCCTGTTCAGCCTTGAGAAAAGAAAACTACAAGGTGACATGATAGCAGTCCAAAGGTACCTGAAATGCTGTCACAAAGGAGAAGGAAAAGACCCATTGTCACTCTTCCCAGATTGTAGGACACAGAACAATGAACTTAATCTACAGCATGCCAGGTGCAGGCTAGACACAAGAAGAATTTCCTAACTGTAAGAGCAATACAACAGTGGAACCACTTGCCAAGAGAGGTTGTGCGCTCTTTCACACTAGAGACATTCAGGAAGAAGATAAACGGTTACCTGAGTGGGATAGTGTGACAGGCATTCTGCAGCAGCAGGGGGCTGGATTCAATGGCCTTCCTTGTCCCTTCCAACCCTACAGTTCTATGGTTCTATGATCTATGATTCTATAAGAAGGTGAACATGTAAACAAAGACTGTTCCCTGGCCGTAAATGTCTTGACTAATTTAATAGGGTGATCACTGGGAAGGACATAGTTGCTTATACTGTTTCCTTAGAGCTTCATGTCAGTTTGTGACTCAGGTTGGATGCTAGATGCTTGGAGACATAATTATATGTTTATTGCTTGATGACTGCACAACGTTTTTTGATGGAATGGTGTTCACACAGGCAGCAGAGAATTATAAAAAGAAGCATAACAAACCGATACACATAATTGAGTGAACCACAGCTGTGATATATAGAAACATTATATGACATATAAAGAGGACAGCCCTTCAGAGATGAGGCATGTCCATTATCTTTCTTCTTCACCTTCATTTCCACCTGCAAAGAAACAGTGAACTACAACAGGATGTAACTAAAGGTTTTCTTCTCCATGATTACCAACCTATGAGCAATTACCTTGTCAGATAAAGCTCAAAAATTAATCATATTTAAAAAGCATTCCTTTATGTGTTTTCAAAGTACTTAAGCATGAACATATAATTTTCTTTGTTTTCAGAACAAAAAGTGTCTTTTTAAATTATTACTGGAGTGCTTAGTAAATAGTGACATTCTCAGATATTACTGAGTTTTTCAATATTTGAATTATTGTTTTTAACTATTAACTTTCCCACCTTGAAAAGGACTGCTTGTAAGCAAGAGCCTACAAGCTGCATTTTCCTTGCACTCAGTGGACATGCACAGGAGTCCATTGCAGATGACATTTAATGAACATTTATTTATTTATATAGAAAATGTCTTTAATCATTGTAGCAGTGCACTTGACTACTTGATAGGTGCCATTAATGGAAAGGGTAAAGATGAATCCATTTTTACTAGAAAAAAGGGGAAAAGGTAGTATTTGAAAGGCTTTGTTAAGGTAGAACTGTGTTCCTAATCGCTGCCCCTTTGGCTAATAGGAACTATTAAGAAATAGGTCTTTCACTTTTTAACAGCTTTGTAATTTGATATTGTATCTTGCTTTCTCATGCTAAAACCCATAAGAAAGATGTCTTGTAATATGGTAGAATCTAGGATTAATTGCATGAAATGACAGTCCTAAATATAATAAAATACAGTGCCATTAACCATCTGTTGATTCATACACAGGAGAAACCATTTTCAGTCCCTGCTTGCTTTATATGTTTGCACTGTTAACTTCATCAATGATAACAGAGCCACTCACCAAAATGCATGCAAATCAAGCCATTAACAGCAGTATTAAGTACAAGAATTAATCCTAAAGCTGCCATTTTCAATCTCAACTCGGTTTGTTCTGTGCTTGATGCAAAATGCCCTAACGATTTTGCCTGTCCCGAAGGAGAGACCGTGCAATTGTTTTACTATCTTGACTTCGAACTTATTTCTGAATAAACAGATTGTTCTTTTTTCTAAAATGTCATTTCATACACAGCCGGATGCTGCATGTTATCCCTTAAAATATAATGAGGACTTTTTTTTATTAATGCTGCACGCCCACCATATCTTCTAAAAATTGGGTCAAGTTATATTGACTAAACAAAAGGATGAAATTATGTTTTTAAAATGCTGGGGTGGTGATACTTCACAAAAGCAGTTCTAAAGAGCTTGCATTTAAGAACAATGTGGGCCTGCTGGTTGATATGAGGGTTCCTGCATTATGGCATGGAGACCTCATGCCATGGGGCTCATCATGCATCCATGCACAGCCAGAAATTTGGTGCATTTTAGGGACACTACATGAGAGCAGAGCTTCCAAGATCCTAGCCCTGTATCCTTCACTGCACCTAGTTGAGAGGCACACGGTCTGCTGAGACACAACTGGATTTGCACAGCACCTTGCCCTGTAGTTAGAATTCCTCTATGCCTGTCAAGCAGACAGGCAGAGTGGTACTTGTATGCCTCTTCCACCCTCCTTCCTTACCCTATCAGTCCACCTGCAGCATCCCAGAGGATCCTGCTGGACCACTGAGAGCTCCTGTGGGCAGTGACAAACCGCCCAGCACTGTCTGTGCTTTGACTTTTGTTTTTCTTTGACTCCCTCTGTGTTATCCATTCTTGAGAAAAGGAAGCTAACCCTGGGCTACCCAGAACCCAAGGATTCTGCTGCAAAGGGTGCTTTCCACTCATTCATTCATTAAAAGCTTTTGTATGCTTTATACATTATATACAAAGCTTTTGTATGCTTTGTATACATTATACAAGATCTAAGATGGCTTACTGTATTTAAAAAGACCATTAAAACAATTTAAAATAATAGAACAAAACTAAATCACAAAGCAAACAGAGTGAATAAACTTAAAAACTATTAAAGTTCAAAATACTGTTTAAATAAAAAGGTTTTGGCCTGACGCCAAAAAGAGTATAAACTTGGCGCCAGGCATAGCTCTCTAAGGAGTACATTCCAGAGTCTGGGCGTCACAGCAGAGAAGGCCCTACTCCGAGTTGATGATCTTTTTACCTCTCTTAGGGTTCCCAGAGTAGGGCTTCTCCCATAGATCTTAAGGGGCGTGAAAGCATATAAGGAAGGAGACGTTCCTTCAGGTTTCCTGGTCCCAAGCCATTAAGGGCTTTATAGGTCAAAACCAGCATCTAGAATTGGGCCCGGACTTCAACTGGAGGCCAGTGGAGCTGGTGGAGGACCGGCATTATGTAAGAGTAACATCCTATCCTGTAAAACGCAGGAAGAAATAAAACCTCAGCTACACAGTTGCAATTTGGCACAGACACCTGTCTGCACGGACACAGTTTACTTAGCAAATTTCAACACTGTAGCCCATTGATCATTTTTTTAAACTCTATTTTTAAAGGTGGTGGGTAGAAAATGCCCTTTTGTAGCAGAATCCTCATGAGTTTTTTGGGGTGCTTGGGTGGCCCTGGGCTGCCCTTCCTTTCCAAGTATAAATAACAGGAAAGCACAAGGGGACCCCTAACCTCCTAAGAACAGGTCAAAAAATATTGTGGGGAGTGGAGGAGACACACATGGTCGGTTCTCTCCACTTTCTGGAACCAAGAATTTTTCTAAGGATGCTAGGAAGACCTAACGGGTCCCTCAGTTTTTTTGTTTACCCCAGCAAATAGCACCTCATGAAGCAGCAAGCCCAGGGAGCGATGCATGTGTTTTAAAGAGGCAAGCCTCCCTTCCTGCATGGGGGCACACCTAAGATTTGAAGCACCTCCTACTGCTAGCAGCAGGGAGGCACTGTTAGCACCTGGGGCCCCTGAAGCAGCAGATAATCCCCAAAGGAATCTGGGGAATGCACTACAAAGCAGCCCTTTCCTGTAGTTCGGGTCAGGAAAGGCCGTCCAAAGTGCTTGGGAGGATAATTTTTTTATTTTATTTATTTATTTATTATAACATTTTTATGCCACCCCATTCGCCGAAGCCTCGGGGCGGCTTACAACAATGCTGAATGATCATGGGCGCCCCTCAAAGTCCTCGGGGGTTCACCTCCTGGATGAAACAAAACAGGGCCGGGAAAGCCTCCATTAAGCATAGCTTTTGCAATGTTAGAAAACACATTAAAGTCAAGTTACTGCCAGTGGGAAGAGTGCTGTGTCCTGAAAACATGCTATCCTGCCATGGCTTATAAACTACGTCGGCTTAATGTGCAAATGCAGCTAGGGAAAAGAACTACCCCATCTGATGGAACAAGAACACCCTTGAGTTTTGTTTTTAAAGATCAGCTAGTGAAGGGGGAAATGTAGGAAGATATGTGTCAGTTTAAGGAGAAAAAGAAAAATCATTAATAAGATGGTGAGGGGCTTACTTAGTCATTAAAAAAGAATGGATGCTCAGTGCCATGTGGGTGGATGAAATCGCCCAGAAAGTGCATAAGACCTGAAGAGAGGGCAGGAGAAATTTATGAGTGTGTGTACAGGGGGAGAACTGTAGGTGAAAACCTTTCCTTTTTAAAAAAAGAAAAAAAAGAAAACAAGCTATGGCTGGACTTACTAAATACTAAATGGCAGTTGAGGGGGGATTCACAGACTGGAGCCCTTTGTAAGAGTGGCACCCAATAACTGTGCATAGTGAGAATGACATATTGAGGGGGAAATTTGCATGCAATGGAATGGTCAACTGGAGTGAGCGTTCATTGTTAGAAGAGAAGGGCATATTTAATATTTTCATTTTTTATCCTTCATTGCAATTGCGCAATAGACTCAAAAGATAAATAGTCCTTAATTCTCTTTCCTGTCACTTAATATTGGCCCTAACTGAAACTTTAGTTAATTGATAAATCAACCAAATAAACAATTAACACCTACAGTTCATTCTCTCTCTGTCTCTGTCTCTCTCTTTCTCTCTCTCACTGACACTAAAACATTGAATCTAGAGGAAATAATACATAATTGTTTATTATTAACAACAATAATTAGCTCTTTAGATGTCTTCCTTTCCTTAAATTCATAGATATCAGACATACATTTTTAAAGACGTTGCAAGAGTTGAAGCAGCCTCTTCTATAGATCCACAATCACATTGTCACATCTGGTAATTTGGGCTGCTGGAATCCAAGCTTGCACCTGCCTCAGAAAGGCAGAGGCAAATTTTCTGGTGTGCAGACTGCTTACAAGGTGTCTATAAGACTGGAAAACCAGCAGTATTTGTTCAACTAACCTCACCACTCTGTCCACAGATATTGATGAATGTGCTGAAGGGAGGCATTATTGTCGGGAGAATACCATGTGTGTAAACACACCAGGATCATTCATGTGCATCTGCAAAACAGGTTACATCAGGATTGATGACTACTCATGTACTGGTAAGAGATGACAGCTTGTTAACAATAAGATTTGCCTAGCATTTCAATGCCCTAAACATAAGCATTCCGCTTACCTATTAGCACAACAAAAGGAAACAAGGAAGTTGACTAATTTGTAGTGGTTTTGTCTCCTAGAAAAATGTTGTAAGGCCATGTATGTGCCACCTCATTTAATAAAAATAGTGCCCTGTTTATATGCTGTAATTCTGCATTTGGAATGGAGAATTAGAATACTAAGGCATGTGAGAAAACACACTCTAACTGGATCGTGGGATAGATCCTCTTCTAGATTATAATAGATTTCTCTCAGGAATGTGATACGGAAATATTTGCTTCTCTGACTTAGTTCAGATGGAAGCAATACCTTTCAATGTTAAACTAAGCATAGTTACACTTGGTTAGAACTTAGTGTAGAACCATGCTTTGGTGTTACCTTTTTCTCATTGGGTTTTTCTGCTTTGAAGAAAAAAAAAGCTGGGACTTTATTTTACACAGCAAATGTAATGAACAGGCTTATTTATCTTCAGTTAAGGTCACAGGGCACAGTGCTTGTTATATGTTAATTTGTACACTTTTGGGTACACAGATTTATGGGAAATCACTTGAATATCCTTTGCTTTTTGGTCCCCAGATTGTGGCCAGATGATCATGCGCATTGTCTGTTGCCAGGATCAGCTCACAACAATGCAGCACTTGTAGTTGTGTCCCCAAAAGATTTTATTAAAGTGATAGCATTGTAGTGCTCCCAGTGTTTGGCTAAATTGGTTTTAATCTAACTTTGAACTGCATACTTCAGAAAGAGGAATTCATGACATTAATTCAGAAGCAGAATCTGTCTTACTGTACAGAATGGCTTGTACTCATTCTAGTGATGCATGCAGTTAAAAACGAACAAACAAACAAACATAAACATGTCCAATACCAATCAAACAGATGCCCCTTGAAGTTACTGAACAGGGTCACAAGCTGCTGTTTGTTTCCAGCACCTCATATCAGAAGCATCCCGAGTCTTTCAGCATTTAGTTCATCTTTCCCCATTCCAGGACCATCCAGATAGCCATGTCAGCTGAGGAATTATGGGAACTGTAGTCCAATACATCTGGAAGACACCTGGAAGGGCTAATTTAGCAGTTGGGGCTAATCACCACTGTTTGATTTATATTCCATGTCTGTACTCAACCTTTGAAAAACCTCTTTTCCATAATTCATATGAAATGTGTAGCAATGCTTCCTTTTGTCTGCCCTGGGAGGAAAGAACAGGCTGAAACTGAGAGATGGAATCTTGTATGGCGTGTGCAAAATTCCAGTTTCTCTATGGTGATTCTCTTTCCATAGAGAAAAAATACAGCCCATGAAAAATACAGTCCTGTAAAACACAGCCCATGATGATCTGCAGGCTCCCCACAACTCTCATGGAGATTTTGTGGGGATACAGGGGACCTTAGGGGAAGATGGAGGTAAAGATCTGTTGAATAAGTATGGTAACATTGCTTTCACCAAGGTTTCCAGCATTGCTGAGACCCAGCCCTGGAATCAAATTATCTTTCGGCAATTGATTTTCCAGGAGATCATAAATGCTGAGCATTATAGCTTGAGTGGGGCCCTTAACTGCGTTTTTCATTTCATGGGTATTGTCTGCCCATAAGAACAAAAAGTCCTTGAGGGTATTATGGTACATTCTAGTTTGGGCTATTTCATACAGAAGTGTGTTTCAGAAATGATGATTTCCACTCCAGAAAATAGATGCTCTTTAGAATTCTAAAACAAGTGGCAATATTAGTTGAGCCACTATCCTTGACTGCAGTCCCCTCACTTAGAGCCAATTCTGACTTTCCAGTTTGTATGTAAGTATGAATAAGTGTAGAGTATGTATTTCTCCCATCAAAGTGGAAGCTGCTGCTATTGCTATTTTTAAGTGGCTCTTTAAGTTGTTTTTACCAACTTCTTTTATATATTGGTTATATTTTATAGGGCTGTTTTATGGCTTATTGTATCTTAGTTGTTCTTAGGAAAGTTGGGCACCATTGGGTGGAAAGGGAGGGATAAAATAAAAAAGCCAGATGTCTTTTAAAACAGGGATTGGCAAAGACCTGTCAGTAGTTGCCTGGTGATTTGTGATTTGTCAGGGACTACTGACGCCCAGTTGTTTAAGAACAAGAACAACCAAATGACTGCTTATACTGCTGAAATGAAGAGAACTCAGGCTAACTAGGAGTGGATTTTTATTTGGAAGGCTGTGAAGTCCATTAATTTCCAGTGCACAAATTCTTAGGCTCAGAGTTATGTAAATCCAAGCTTATGTGGTAGATCTCAGGGTTCTCAAATAAAACAAAATTGATCCTCTAAGCAGCATTTCTGTTCACTCCGTTTTAAAATAGATGCAAAGCCCTTAGGTCTTCCTGGTTATGGATTTCAGCCACAGTACAAATTTTATATGTATTTACCTTTCTGACTTGACAAGATATACATGTATTTTGCAATGTGGTATATGTAAGAGAACATAACATATGCAGCCAGAGTTGATCCATAATTAGGGTTTATGAGTAGTTATCTATGAAAATGTGCTGGGATGGGAAGGGGTTGGAGGGGTAGCTGTATGCCCGGAGAATTGAGAGGAAGGCAATTTTCACTGTTTTTCTCTGCAGCATCCCACATTTGACACCAGCTGCAAAGGGCTAGGATTCCTCAGAAACAGAGTCAGAGGTTGTGGGAACTGCAGGGGAAAGGGAAAATTCCAAAAAGAGCCTCCATCCATGTTCTCTTTTTGGAATTTTGATGGTAGATATTTGCAAAGAGCCTCCATCCATGTTCTCTTTGCAAATATCTACCATCAAAAGACTGGTCTCTGCTGGATAGAACCCTGTATCCAAAGTCTACACATACATGGTAGATGCAGTATATGGAAGAAAAAATGTTATCTTACTGCGATGCCCACGAATAGGAGATGGATAACTCATAGCCCAGTACCATGGTGCATAATTCTCTATAGCAATCTTTTCTTGACTTAATGGATATCTTCTGCTGAGCATGAGATGGAAAATCCACATAGTTATTACAGTAGCCTGTGGTCATTGTTTTAAAGATTCTTGTGTCTCAAAGATTCAAGTGCTCCGTATAGAGAGGCAGACACCATGAGGTAGTTGATTTGTCTTTCTGTGGCATCACTGTCTTGCGTAGTTTCATTGTTCACCCACAAAAATTTAGCAAAGTATTCATTATACACTGACTATATAACTATAATTCATTTACTGGGTTTCCATACAATCAACAAACTGATTTTTACATTTATTTCATATAAATTGCCTCGAGGCAATTAAAAGCTAAACCGAATAAATGACTTGAAATGAAAATAAACTACGGCTGGAAGTGTTAGTCTCCTACAGTGTACTCCAAGTTGGTTAAGTCATACTAAAATATAAATTTTGTTCCAAACCACAAGTTGTTTCCTAAATATATAAACAATAAATCTTGGGTAACAACAATAAAATTGTTGTGCCTGTTATTATCTTCTGAGGAGATTATCTTCTGAGAGAAGTTTTTAAGCAGCTATTATGTTGCAATTTGCTTAATGAGGATTGAGAGCATTTACAAGTACAATAACAAGCTGCATTTGCAATGATTACTGAAGAGGAAGCATGATTCCATCTGAGAGCACTCCAGGTCTTTGACCTTATGTCTCCTAGAATGCATCAAATTGACATTTGCAAAAATGTTACATGTCTATATATATTTTCAGCATCAACCTATTAAAATGAGTGATGGAAAACTAGATCCACAATTCTTCATAGATGGGAATAGTGGCAGATGGAGCCTTGCAACCCAAGCCTATGCTTGTTGCTATGCTACAAGGTTACCAGAAAAGAAGCAAAAGTGAACATGCTATACTTATGAAATCCCGAACGTACAAGCTTCATTAAATCAGTGTTGTCAGTAGAAAATAGGGAACATGGCTTGTTTCAAATTCTCATTTTTTCAACGAAACAAATCCTTTATTTTTATTTTTAAACCAATATTTCTAATTTTCTTTTCCTTTTCAACTCTAAATCCAGCTGAGCACAGCTGTTTATCTAGCTATCTAATTATAACAGGACCCATTTCTTTCTTGTTAACACACCTGCTCTCTTCGCCCCCTTACCTATTAATCAAGCTGTTCTGGAACCCAGATGCTGTCTTTTCACTGCCACAGCCAGTTTTAATGCAAGCATAGGTCTCTAAGGATTTCTGTCCAGTGTTTTCCAAATGAGGAACACCCTATAAATCTGCACACAATAGGAAAGGTCTGAGAACCATAGAAACCAGCTTTGCCTCAGTGAGGCAAAAGGTGGGAGTTGCACCTTTGGGCAAAACAGCATCATTTTAAAAAGCAGATTTTCCATGTGGGAAGTGCTATAAATTGAGGGGGATAGGAATGAAACAGGCAAAAATAAGACTTTGGGAAAATGTAGTGATATATTTATATGGCCAGAATGAAATGGTGTTTAGGAATGAAATAGTATATAACTATTAGACTGATATTTCAAAATGGGTACTGTTGTTATTGTTAGCCTGCAAATGAATTTTTTGTAATGATCTGAGGGTTGTTTTAAATCTCTAGGCAGAATCTTTAACAAAGCTGTTGAGTTGATGTGTGGTGGCAGTCCTGTTTTGGGATGTGAACTTTGGCTCAGCAGATAGTCATCCTATTTGGCCCAGTTTGTTTTTCCGGGCAGCCACTTGGTTGCAGAGAAGGGTGCAAAGTACACATTTACTTTCAAAGACATCTAGTTCCTTGGTTGAGAGCTTGGTAAAGTGCAGATTTCTCAACCTGGTGCCCTCCAGATATTTTGGCGACCATCAGCCCCAGGAAGTATTGCCAATTGTCAGGAATTTTGGGCACTGTAAGCCAAAGCCCTGTGAGGGGAAAATTTCAAGCAGTTTACAATGCAGTCACTTTGAAAACACCTTGAAAACAATGCAGTGGTTACTACTGATTTGTTGCTAGACAAATCTAATACCATTGC